TATCCTCAAGAGAGGAGATATGAAACCAACCTAAATGCTTCATCAACAGATGACTGGATAAAGAAAATGTGGTATGTATATACAATGGAATACTATTAATCCATTAAAAAATGAAATCATGTCTTTTGCAGCAACGTAGATGGAACTGGAGACCATTATCTTAAGTGACACAGAAAGAAAAATACCATACGTTCTCCCTTACAAGTGGGAGCTACATAATGTGTATACATGGACGTAGAGTGTGGAATGACAGGGCACATCCTCTGCAGATAAGCGGGTGTTTCCTTCAGCGCCTTGCATGAACTCAAGAAGCACTCAATGAATGAACAGCAACACTGTAAGGAACTGAGAATATGGGATAAAGGATTAAAAACCATCATTTTACAGACATCACTGTGAGGAGAGATGTGGCAGTCAGCTTCCAAGATGGCCCCCAGTGGCCCTCGCCTCCTGGTATTCATATCCTTGCACGGTCCCTACCACAAAGAATCAGTCCTGCCCTGTGTGACCAACAGAATAGCTTTCAAGGCTGGGTCACAACGACATTATAGTGGATCAGCTTTCACTCTTGGGGAAGCCGGTCGCCATGTTGTGGTGACACTCAAGCAGCCCTGCAGAGAGACCTACCTGGAAAGCAGCCAGTTCACCAGCATTGATTTCCCAGCTGTGTCAGTGAGCCACCTTGGAAGTAGATCCTCTAACCCCGGAAAAGTCTTTAATGATGGCAGCCTAAGCCAACATGTGATTTCAGCCTCATGAGGGACCTGAACCAAAACCACACAGGTGAGCCACCCCTGAAGTGCTTATCCACAGAAATCATGAGAAGTAATAAATGAGCATTATTGTGTTAAGTCATTAATTTTGGGGGAGATTTGTTGCACAGCAATAGATAACTAATACAAGAAGTATTGGGAATGACTTCTACGAAGGAAGTAGAGCTTGGAATAGAGGCATCATAGGAATTGTGGGAATAATACAGGCAAAGCAATAAAGAAAGAATGGGGAAACACCATGAGCAAAGGCAAGTACAAATGTCATAAAGAACCATCCCCACACAGAACCTCAGAATTGGGAGAAATCTTCACAGTCATTTAGCTCAACTGCTCATCTGATGTTAAAGTCCACTCTTAACATAATAAAACTAAGACAAAAATTGCATGCATTTATATAAGCTGAATCCCAGAAAGAGGCTGGCTTCCTATATTTCTCCATGTAGTGATACAAATCACAAATAAATTTAGTCACAAGAGAGATCATCTGAACCGAGGTCAGTTCTGAAAGTAATTTAATTAAGAAATTGAAGGAAGAGCAGAAGGAGATAGAAGAAGGATAACAGCTAGAAAAAATAAGGACTAGTATTTGACAGATCAGTAGGATGGCCAGAGGTAATCCTATTGATGTACAACATCAATCTATTGTACATTTCCGAATAGCTAGAAGAGAATAATTATGATATTCTTAGCATAAAGATAAATGTTTATGGTGATGGATATCCCAATGACCTTGGTTTGATCTTTGCACATTATATGAAAGCATCAAATTATCACATGTGCCCTGAAAATACATCTATTATGTATCAATATAAAGAAGAGGAAAAGGCCAGGCATGGTGGCTCACGCCTGTAATTGCAGCATTTTGGGAGGCTGAGGAGGTGGATCATCTGAGGTCGGGAGTTCAAGACCAGCCTGGCCAACATGATGAAACCCTGTCTCTACTAAAAATACAAAATTAGCCAGGTCTATTGGCACATGCCTGTAATCCCAGCTACTTGGGAGGATGAGGCAGGAGAATCACTTGAACGTGGAAGGGAGAGGTTGCAGTGAGCCAAGATTGTGCCATTGCACTCCAGCCTGAGCAACAAAAGCAAAACTCCATCTTAAAAAAAAGAGAGAGAGAGAGAAGAGGAAAGGGAGAAGAAACAGAAGCAAAGGAGGAAAAGAAGAAAACAAACAACAAAAACCGAAGGAAAAGGATGCCATGGATTGGAAGAAGAAACTGGTTAATTAAAATGCTATGCAGTAGACATTGTCCTAAGTTCTTTAAACATATCTCATTTTACCTTCACAATAACTCCGTATCACTGAATTATGTTAGTCCTGTTTCTTCCCCTGTGATATGGTTTGACTATGTCCCCACCCAAATCTCATCTTGAACTGTAGCTCTCAAAATTTCCACATGTTGTGGGAGGGACCCAGTGGGAGATAACTGAATCATGGGGTAGTTTCCCCCACACTGTTCTCCTAGTAGTGAATAAGTCTCACGAGATCTGATGGTTTTACAAGGGGTTTCCCTTTTCGCTTGGCTCTCATTCCCCTGCTGCCATGTAAGATGTGTCTTTCACCTTCCACCATGATTGTGAGGCCTCCCCAGCCACGTGGAACTGTGAATCCATTAAACCTCTTTTTCTTTATAAATTACCCAGTTATGGGTACGTCTTTATCAGCAGCATGAAAATGGACTAATACACCCTCCTTCCCAGAAGGCTTCCCCTCCCCCTATTCTCCAGATCTGAGGTAGAGAAAGTTGACTAACTACAGAGAAGAAGGATTAAGGCATTATGCACTTAAACTCTCAGCAGGAAAAAAAAATCTGAGCATATGGTTAAGGCTATAACAAGGTCCATCCAACAAAGAATCCACCAACAGATTGAAGATATTCCTTTTACAGGATATAAGGCCACGCTTCTTGGTCTGCTGATTAGTGTTGTTCTATTCAAAGGAAGAGCGTATCTGAGATAAAATTTTTAAAACCCAGAACATTCTCTGTCCCAAGATAAGATGTTTTACTGGTCGCAGAGTTGATTCTTTTAGAGACTAGTAAAGGATCTGAAAATCCCATTGGAGGAGGGGTTCCTACACAAAGCTAATGTTTGATTCAGGGCGTTGATACAAGCATTTGCCTTTAACCAAGGGAAAGCACGAGGAGACCTGCTCTGTAGGCAGCCACCTTCAGGAGATGCTGCCATATGTACAGTGGTATAAGGATAAGAGGTGAACACTTGGGTCAAAACCCAAGAAGGTCAAGTTAGTGAGCATTCCTCACCATGTCATCCTTCTGTAAAGAAGAAGGCATATGCTGGACTGGGAATAGGAAACGTCGTTTTTAAAATTTAAAGTACTAAAATAGCTGGTTATCCCTCTAAGAAAACATAGAAAATTAAATTTAAAGCTGGGCATGGTGGCTCATGCCTGTAATCCCAGCACTTGATGAGGCTAGGGCAGAAAGATCACTTCAGCCCAGGAGTTTGAAACCAACCTGGGCAACAGAGTGAGACCCCAATCTCTACAAAAAAATAAAAAATTAGCCAGGTGTGGTGGCATACGCCTGTCATCCCAGCTACTTGGGAGGCTGAGGCTGGAGGACTGCGTGAGAGCCCAGGAGGTCAAGGCTACAGTAAGCCAAGATCACACCACTGCACTCTGGTCTGGATGACAGAGTGAGACCCTGTCTAAAAATGAAAGAAGGGAACAAGGAAGGAAAGAAAGAAAATGAAGGATGGGAGGAAAGGAAAGAAAAGAGAGAAGGAAGGAAGGAAGAAGGGAGGGAGGGAGGAGTAGGGAGGGAGGGAAGGAAGAAGGGAGAGACAGAGAGTGGAAAAGAAAGGGAGAGACAGAGAGTGGAAAAGAAAGAGAGAAAGAGAAAGGAAGGAAGGGAGGGAGGAAAGGAAGGAAGGAAAGAAAGAAAGAGAAAGAAGAAAAAGAGAAAGACAGAAAGAAGGAAAGAGAGACAAGAGAGGAAGGGAGGGAGGAAGGGAGGGAGGGAAAGAGGAAGGGAGAGAGGAAGGGAGAGAGAGAGAGTGGAAAAGAAGAAAAGAAACAGAAAGAAAGAAAGAAAGGAAGAAAGGAAGGAAGGAGGAGGGGGAAGGAAGGAAGGGAGGGAGAAAGGAAGGAAGGAAGGAGGGAAGGAAGGAAGGAAGGGAGGAAGGAAGGAAGGGAGGGAGGGAGGGAAAGAAGGAAGGAAGGAAGGGAAAGAAAGAAAGGAAAGAAAGGAGAAAGGGAAAAAGAAAGAAGAGAGAGAGAGAAAGGGAGGTAGGAAGGGGAAGGAAGGAAGGGAGGTAGGGAAGGAGGAAGGGAGAGAGAGAAAGAGCAGATAAGAATAAAGAAAAGAAAGAAAAAGGAAGGGAGAGAGGGAGGGAAGGAAGGAAAGAAGGAAGGAAGGAAGGAAAGAAAGAAAGAGAAAGAAGAGAGGGAGGGAGGGGAGGAAGGAAGGAAAAAAGGGAGGAAGGGAGGAAGGGAGGGAGGAAGGGAGGAAGGAAGGAAGGAAGGAAGGAAGGAAGGAAGGAAGGAAGGAAAGAAGGAAGGAAGCAAGCAGGCAGGCAGGCAGGCAGGTAGGCAGAAATTACACTTAAAAGATGTATAAGCCTTGGAGAATTTGGAACAAGATACAGCTTTTACCAATTAAGAGCTGTAGAGTAACGGTCAAAACATCTTAACATCTCTAAGGCCAGAAAAACTAAATCTTCAACAAATACCACACTCATGGCATTGACGATGGGCATGAAAGGGTAACCAACAAGAAAGCCTAGGAATGTCCACCGTGATCTGGGGTGGGGGACATGGGGTCAATGGAACATGCTGGAAGTGGGTTGGATGCTTGGATGCCCAAGAAGCTCCTATAGAAGAATGGTAGGAAAAATTCTTTCTCAGAAAAAAAATGCCATAACCCCTTGAAATAATGGACTTACTCTACTGGCAGGAATGACCAGCCACATAGGCTAGCCGATTTTGCAAAAGGCTGCTCTGCTGCTGAAGCCACAGGGTGAAAGAGAGTAATGACCATCCTTCAGTTACAGCAAGTTCCCAGGGGACCTGGGCGGTGTGGAAAGATGGGCCCTGTGCCTTTCTGCTTTTCCCCACAGCCCCAGCATCAGGCTTTACACACTGCAGGTATCTCGCTAACGAGGGTGCCGACATCCTCTTTAATATAATTCACACCCCACACCCTCAAGAGCTCAGAACCAAAGGCACTAAGGTCCAGGCTTCCTCCTGCTCTGAATTTACCGTCATTGAAGCTGTCACTGGTGGTAATGTGGGTGAAGGGCGACTGGGCCCGAGCCTCCTCGCACAGGGAGTAGCTGTGCTCAGCCTGGATGAGAGGTGCCGGGGACGTCGGGGAAGGTTCCACCTCCATTGACACACTCTTCTCTGAGAGGAACGGGTCATTCAGGAGCTGACCCAAGACGTTCTGGGAAAACTCATCCAGAAGTTCTGAGAAGTGCTACAAGAGACAAAGGAGGAAGAACTCAGTTTCTCTTAACCGTGATGTGATAGTTACCCTACGCACATATTCTACAGCAAATACCTCATCCACCGCTCGATATGAAGCTCCTCCTAGACAATGTCCAGTTATCTTGTGCTGTGTAGAAAACCACCCCAAAGTTTAGTGGCTGAAGGTAACCATAACATTAATGTATTACTTCTCACCCATCAGTGGGTTGGGTTGGGTGGGTGAACTGATTGCATCTGGGTTCCCTGACAATGCACACCAGCGGGAAGGCTGGCTGGGACTGTGCTGGGCTGGGACCCCTAGCCACTTGGGCCTCTTTCTCCAAAGGGCAGATCAGGCTGGGCTTCCTACCATGATGGCAGAATCTTCCATGAGGGAGAAAAACCAAAGCTGAACAGCCCAGATATCACATACCATTACATCTTCCACGTTCTTTTGGTCAAGGCAAGGGACAAGGCCAGCCCACACCCATGGGGCAGGAAAACAGACTCCACCACTTGATGAGAGGAATGGCAGCATCACAATGCAGATGAATGTGGACGGTGGCAGAGGCATGATTCACTGGGGGTCCTTGCTGTCATGACCTACCACATTTTGCACTGATCATGTTAATATTTTTAAATAAGCTCTCCTCCACTTCTAATAGCATGAAGGTGTAGTTTATACTAAGGTGCCATGCTCAAAAACACTAGAGGTGGCTTTTCCTTGGCCTGCACTTTGTTCCGCTCTGGTTTTTCCTTAATATCCACCCAACCTTTATCTCTAATATCATGAACGTTCCAGACCCCACCATGCTTTGGACCGTCATTGAAGCTGTTTGGACTAGCCAAACAGCTAGGAAATAGCACTAACACATATAAATTCCCTGGGATTCCCAATCCCTTGTGACACTGTCCCACACTAAATGCACTGCAGCTCCATTCACTGTCCCTCCTTGATAGGACTATATTCATGGTATGAGGATCTTTGGAGCAGGGTTTCTCAACCTTGGCACTGATAACATTTAATCCATTGTGAAGGGCAGGGTGGGGGCACTGTCTTGTACATTGTAGGAATTTAGCAGCATTCCCGGCCTCCACCCACTAGAGCACTCCCCCAGCTGTGAAGCCAAAATTATTTCCAGACACTGCCCAAATGTCTGTAGCTGAAAAAAATCACCCATGGTTTACCATCACTAATACTGATTATATTAGAAATAATAATAATATAAAATAGGGCCAGGAGCTGTGGCTCATGCCTGTAATCACAGCACTTTGGGAGGCTGAGGTAGGCAGATCACGTGGTCAGGAATTTGAGACCAGTCTGGCCAACATAGTGAAATCCCATCTCTACTAAAAATACCAAAAAAATTATCTGGGCAAAGTGGCAGGTGCCTGTAATTCCAGCTACTTGGGAGGCTGAGGCAGGAGAATCACTCGAACCCGAAAGGCAGAGGTGGCAGTGAGCTGAGATCACACCACTGCACCCCAGACTGGGCTACAGTTCAAGACTCCATCTCAAAAAAAAAAAAAAAAAAGGAAATAAAAATAAAATAAAATGAAAATTTAAAGCCTACTTTGGTACCAGCTATTAGAGACATTTCGGCCTTCTTAGCATTCTCTGAATCACAGACCAACGGGCGTCATCCTCATTAATTAAATTTTAGTGACACTTCTGGTATAGAAAGGAAGTTGAGAAAGCAGATGCAGCAATAAAAGAATGATTACAAATAATAAGGCTTAGGATAGGCAATGAAATTTTTGGGATTCACACGAACACCTAAGTCCCACCACCAAACTGAAGTGTCAGTGAAAGCGTTATGAAAATGAACACTGAAAGGGAAGGTGGGGTGTGTCCCGGGAACTCTAAGATCAGGCTAGCTGTACAGCAGGATGCTTCCTCTAGTAAAGGAGAAAAGCAGACAGCAGAGAGGAGGCCCTTGCAGGCTAGGGCCCTAACGAATTAGAACGGTGAAATCCACTCACATCACCAACACGGGATGTGGCATTTCCTCAGGACAGACTGCAGGGAAGCTATAGGACTTGGGCATGTCCTAATAAGCATAATTGTCTGTGAGAACAAGAGAGGGGGTCCAGGAGAGAACTTTCTGAGTACAAATACATTTCAAACTGGAAGGTTCAGAATTAGGAGTATTTAAGGCCACATACCAACTGCCTACATTGCAATTACCAGGGGAATTTGGGTTAGTCATTTCATAATGAAATCTTTTAAGCATTCAGAAAGATTAAATATATCATGAACAATTATGTAGTCATTCCTTTAAAAAAAAAAAAAAAAACAACAACAACAAAAAAAAAACTGGGGCTGGGAGAGGTGGCTCATGCCTGTAATCCCAGTACTTTGGGAGGCTGAGGCAAGAGGATCACTTGAGCCCAGGAATTTGAAACCAGCCTGGGCAACATAGTGAGATGCAGTCTCTACAAAAAATATAAAAATTAGCCAGACGTGGTGGTACATGCCTGTAGTCCTACCTACATGGGAGGGTGAGGCAGGAAGCTTCCTTGAGCCCAGTAGGTCAAGGATATAATGAACCATGATTGCACCACTGCACTCCAGCCCAGGCGATGGAGTGAGAACCTGTCTTTAAAGAAAAAAAAAAAAAAAAAATTAGCCGTGGTTGCATAGTGGCTCATGCGTGTAATCCTAGCACTTTGGGAGGCCAAGGCGGGGGGATCACTTGAGGTCAGGAGTTCGAGACTGGCCTGGCCAAGATGATGAAACCCCATCTCTACTAAAAATACAAAAATTAGTTGGGTGTGATGTTGCATGCCTATAGTCCCAGCTATTCACGAGGCTGAGGCAGGAGAATTGCTTGAACCTAGAAGGCAGAGGTTGCAGTGAGCAAAGATCATGCCACTGCACTCCAGTCTGGGTGACAGAGTGAAACTCTTGTCTCACAAACAAATAAATAAATAAATTTTTTTAAAAATAAAGAAAAAAATTTAAATAAAAAATTTAAAAATCTTATTTTTACATGTTTGCTGCTACAATGTTACTGGTTTTTTTCCCTTTTCCTTGCTTTCTTTTTCTTAAGAAATAAAACATGAAGGACAGTTAAAGCTCCCATCTCTTCCCTTAATCCCTCTCAAAGTCATTATCATTCCCATCCAGGTCTTTATTCTTTTACTATATATGCATGTTTCCATTACACACAGGATTCTCTAAAATGTTAAGTAAATGGTACTATATCTCATATATCCTCTGTAATTTCCTTTTATCAAAAAAAATTTTTTTACGTTTATTCATGTTTACACATGTAGCCTTATTTCATTGATTTAAACATCTGAATTCTATTCCATTGTATTCATCCATTTCCTCTGGGGAAACTCTTAATTTTTTTTTTTTTTTGAGACAGAGTCTTCCTCTGTTGTGCAGGCTGAAGTGCAATGGTGCAATCTTGGCTCACTGCAACCTCCACTTCCCAGATTCAAGTGATTCCCCTGCCTCAGCCTCTTGAGTAGCTGGGAGTACAGGTGCACGCCACCATGCCTGGCTAATTTTTTATATTTTAGTAGAGACAGAGTTTCACCATGCTGGCCAGGATGGTCTCGATCTCCTGATCTTGTGATCCGCCCACCTTGGCCTACCAAAGTGCTGGGATTACAGGCGTGAGCCACCACGCTCGGCCACAGATTTTTTTAATTATATGTAATATTGTAATAAATATTCCTTAACATGAAAAGAACTTTTAAAAACACAAAAATTTTACTTTCAGAATGTGGTTTAAAGGCATAAAAATAAATAAAAACATACAAACTTGATGATCCACCCTCAGAGATTTTGACTTAGTAGGTTAAAGGCATCTATATTAAAACTACCACCTATGCCAAGCGTGGTGGCTCATGCCTGTAATCCCCACACTTTGGGAGGCAGAGGCAGGCAAATGGCTGAGCCTAGGAATTCAAGGCCAGCCTGGGCAACATGGCAAGACCCATCTCTACAAAAAATCAACAACAACAACAAAAACTCACACCACCTGTGCTTCTATGCTCACCTCAGCTTCTCAGTCACTGGCTCCATTTCCATTCAACTCCCCTCTCCATTCGTCACTTTACAGTTAAGTCCCTAGATGCTTACAAAGTTCCTAGAAGTTCAAATATGTCCAAGGTCAGAGGAAGATTCAAGGATTTTGCAGCTACTGTGTGTTAAACTTCAGATTGGCACTGGGGCTACAAAATAATAAATAAGAAACTAGAAAATGCCCATGCCCTCCCAGAGTTTACCACTCAGGTCAGCGCTTCTCAAAGTTTTACGTGCCGATAAATTACCTGGGGATTCTAAGCCGTCGCTTCTCATTCACAGGTCTAGGCAGGCCCAAGATTCCGCATTTCTAACCAGCTCCCAGGTAATGCTGCAACTCCACAGACCACACTCTGGGCAGCAAGGAGCAGAACAGTGGCAAGGCTAAGATTAGAACCAGACTTCCTGATTATACAACAACCTAAGTCAGCATCCGATTGCTTAAGTAGCTCCCCAAGGACAAATTTCCGGGTTGCCTGATGGTGACTATTCTGCAACTGTTTGACACAAATCCTTTCAAGACAAAACTAAGGTGACAAAAAAAGAAATAAATAACGGAATGTAACATGCAAATGCAACAGGTTTTAAACCCCCAGTCCCTGCATTTCCAAGCCACAGTTTAGTTCCCGGAACTACAAAGTCAACTCCCGGTCTGCTGTGCTGGCCACTAAAGCTCTGGAATACCATTCTATCCCGAGGCAAGGCTCTGATTGCCCAGACTTTCCCATGGAAGTTGCCCAGGTTGGCCTCCTCTGCTGACACTCTGTTTTCTTTCTTCTGAGCAGCACTAATGAATGTTTTCATGAACATCCCCTGGATAACCAATAATAAACACTCTCTAACTCTGCTAACTTTCCCTGAACTCCCCCTACTTTGGATTATGCAGTCATTCTCATGTTACAAACCATTTAGCCCTAATGATAGGCAGTTTTGAAGCATTCACAGTTGTTGTCAAGTGTATTATCATAACCTCCCCTCTGGAAAAGGATCTTCCTCAGAAGCCTAACCGTGCCTGAACACCCACCCACACCTAGGAACTCAGCAAAGTGGTGAGCTCTCAGTAGGTTCACGGAGATCCTTGTGATTGAAAAGAAACCGGTTCCAACCAGATACTATGACTCAGCCCAGCAAATTAGCTCCAGCTGGGTCTCCTTGGCAGTGGTGGGCTCCAAAGACTCAGCAGACAGGTCAACATTCCATTGCTGGTGCCGGGATCAGGCCAGAGTGGGCCCATCTTTAATGCCAGCCAGCTGGAGAGGGGACTTATGGTCCTGGAGGCCAAAAACCAGGGAAAGGAGCAACGTGAGCCTCAAAGAGAAAGGCTTTTTGGATCCTGTAAACACTTTAGGAAAGTACTACTCATGTGAACCCAAGGGTTATGGGATTTTAGTTTAATTCTTTCAAAGGCAATGGCATAATAACATTTTACTCTTCTAATATCTGAATCAAGCTTTGTGGGTTTACAAAGCAATTTCATAGCGTTTTTCTTACTCAGTGCTCGTGACAATCCTATAAATTGGCTTTCAGTCCACTGTTCAAGATCTCTGTCCCCTACTGAGAGACCTTGAACTAGGGTACTCTTATTTCACATTTGAATATGGCTGAACTGTTTCCATATTGTTTCTCTAGGAAAGGGGTATTTGAGCCTCACAGTCCAATTGTATTGGGAGGTTGTAAGAAGCACAAACCATGATGGTGATGATCGTGGATGATGATGTTGACAGGATCAGATGCTACACTTGCCTGATGGACTAAGTGCTGGACACACTAGATTTTCAGAAAACGAGCTGGGTGCTTTCCTAATATAAGGTAAACACGTCACCATTTACAGATGAGAAAACTGGGGCTCAGGATAATTAGCTATTTTGCTCTGAGATGCACACCTGCTGGAAGGCGAAACTGACATTCCCTCTCAAGTCCAGCCAGTTCCAAATTCCAGGCATTTTCTACCACAGCTTGCTGCTTCATCTGAGGCAGCCTCTAAAGCTAGATAAAGATAGGCTCACAGACAGTCATCCACTACGAACACATGGTCCCCTGCACTAAACCTGTAGAAACATGCCAAGAGTTTATTAGACGGAGAGACTCCTGGTATCACTTGCCGTGATACCTCAGCAAAAAGCAGGATGATGGTTATTTGGCCTTAATGCATGTTTCTGCCAAAGGGTTCAAGTAACATCACACCATCTCTGAGTTGGAAGAAATCTCCTAATAGGATCGAACCCCTGCCTCACAACATGAATGTTCTTCACCCAGCTCAGAGAATACACATGTAGCTTCCCTTAAAAATTTGTGTCAAGTTTTATCTCCCCAATTTGTGTCAGGTTTTATCTCCCCATTATCTACAGATTCTGCTTTAAACATCCTCCAACTATCCCATAAGGTTTTGTCTCCTTTTATTCTTATAAACAACACCTTCATTCCAATCCTAATGGTCACAGTATGGCATTGTGGCAATATAGCTTTGGAGTCAGTCTGCCCTAAATTTGAATCCTGGTTGTGCAAGCCTGAGCAAGATATTTCCATCCTCTAAACCTTGGTTTATGAGGTTAATAATAATGCTGGTAAAGTGAGCTTAACAATAGTGCCAGCCTTGTATCGTGAGAATTAAACTCAATAATGCACGTCATGCACCTAACACTCCACTGCACAGCAATCTTTTAAAAAGCTCTTTTAAAAAAACTAACATAATTAAAAAATAAAAAAGGCATTTTCTACTTGCACACCTGCTTCTCACAGTGTTCTTCCTAGAATATGCTTTTATTTTCATCTTTACCAATCAGGAAACTACCTAAGACAGAACAAATGTAATTCTTTTATAAAGGCATCCCTAGACAGATAAACCTTGAAATGATCTTTCATTTCCCTAAGCAAGTAAAGCCCTTTAAGGAACTCTTAACTTGACACATTTTTCCTTTTCTTTGATGTTCCCTTCTTTGCCAACTTACTTAAATATCCTATCACGAGGCCTTCCAAACTCCACGGCCCAGATGTAAACTGTTTGTCCACCCCTCTCTGGACCTAGCCCAGATCACAGATCACTGATCATAAATAGTTGCTGCACTCAACAACTATCTCGTTTGGATCTATTATTCTATAACATCCTAACGAAATAAAAGATAAATCTGAATTAGAGCTATACCTCCCAACAGCTATAAATAAGTGCCATTAAATATTTTAAATGTCCAAATTTACAAATCACATAAGTTAGGAGAAATTTTTATCCTTCTAAGAATTATTTTTTGTATAAAAAATTACCTTGGCTCTGAAGCATTTCAGGTCATTAATGAATTGCCAAAGTAGCTTGCAAGGAAGGAGTGGTTTATGATCTGGGCCACCTCCTGCTGCTAACAACTGCCCTGAGATCTGAGGTCATGAGGGTGAGGAAAGGGGAACAAGGGGGGAGGAAAGAAAGGATTCATAATTTTTTTTTTTTTTGAGATGGAGTCTCATTCTGTCTCCCAGGCTCGAGTGCAGTGACGTTATCTCGGCTCACTGTAACCTCTGCCTCCCGGGTTTAAGCAATTCTCCAACCTTAGCCTCCCAAGCAGCTGGGACTACAGGCGTGTGCCATCGCACCCAGCTAATTTTTGTATTTTTCGTAGGGACAGGGTTTCACCATGTTGGCCAGACTGGTCTTGAACTCCTGACCAGCTGGTCATCCACTCACCTCGGTCTCTCAAGTGCTGGAATTACAGGGATTCATAATTCCTAAGTTCAAATAACTGGCTGCATAAAACTACTAATCTGTCTTCCGTATAGTACTCTCCACTGAGGTTCACCCATTCAACAAATATAGTGAGAGCATGGGCAGAACAATGAATGACTAAAGGTCAGTCTTACATAGAATTGTCCCTAGGTGCAAAATGAGTTATCCAGAATGTACGTCCTGTGCCCCATCATCCAGAGTACTTGTATAGCATGTTCTAAAGCAGTTTTGCCATCCCGTAGTCAGCCCAACAGGCCTCTTTTGTGCACAGGCTAACAGAAGAGTGCTGCACTGAATCAGTTAGGGATGTGAGTTCTAGTCCCAGCCTTGCACTTCACTGGTGGTCACTCTGCCTCTTCTAGACTTCCTTTACCTGTAAATCTGTGTGTGTGTGTGTGCACGTGTGAGTGTGTGTGTGTGTGTACTGTAAATCTCTGTGTGTGTATGTGTGTGTATAAGTGTGCTTGTGTCCTGTAAATCTCTGTGTGTGCATGTGTGTACTGTAAATCTCTGTGTGTGTGTGTGCACGTGTATGTGTGTGTGTATGTGAACTGGGGGTGGAGGTGTGCTTTAAATCTGATCAGTAGTTTGTCACCTTTTTTTGATGCTTGGATCCTTTTGGGAATCTAATGAAAGCTCCTGCTGAAAATCTAATGCCCTTTTTGGGAATCTAATGACAGTCTTCCCTGAGAAATTCTCACAGCCACATACACACAAACACAGCCCAGCATTTCAGGAGGCTGACCCACCCCTGTAGTCTGCCTGCAGATGGCAGAGGGATTCCATGGATCCCGGGTTAAACCCTGCCAGCAGAGAAAGTAGTAATAACACAGGGATATTTATAGGTCATTGCTAACAACCTATTCAGCTCTACTACCCTATCATTTTCTAAAATATTGCAGGCAACCTAAAATGGAGCTATGAAGGCTTTTCAACTTGGGGAAAGGAGGATGGAGAACACCCTCTTTCTGCCTCACGAGTTTGTTTAGATTTACCCCTGTAATGCCTGCCCAGGGGCAGTGAAGCAGGTGGGCACAGCAGGTAATGGGATTCAGAAAGCAGACCCTGGGCTGGCAGCAAGAGGCCCAAGGCCTGCCTGGGCTCCATCTGAGCTCCACAGCATCCAAGTCCCAGCGCTGTCCTCTGGGAAAAAGGGATGCCTTTGCAAGTGGGTCTCTGGCTGAAAAGACAGTTCCCAGGTAGGCAGGAGAAGAAGCCTTTGTGCTTAAAAATCGTGGCTAGGAGCCTTGCCTAGAGCACAGAATGCCTCCCAAAGACTGGAGCCATAGAAGTAGGGAGTGTGGCCGGGTCAAGCTGACCCTGTCCATAAATGATTCAGAGGACATGCCTCAAATTCACATTAGAAAGCAAGGCCTCCCTCCAGCAAAACACAGTTTGACTTCATTGCTCAGGTGGGGAGGAGCTGGCCTGGGCTCCTGACATCCCCTAGGTCACCCTCCTTCTCCCCTTGCAGGGAGAGAAGGGACCTGACTTCAAGGCCAGTGCACTTTAGATCTGAGTGGCTCTCACACAAGTACCCTGCACACAACACACAGAAAAGGGCCAGATGCCAACCGGGAGGAAAAAGGTGACCTTGTCAAAGTCCCAAGGAAAAAAATGGCTCACAAGTCAAACCCCATTACAGTGAAATTTCAAGAGCACTCAATTCTTTTCTAGGACAAAAATTTAGGCATAGTATGTATTTCTTTAAATTTTAAAAAATGGGGGCTGAGCTTGGAACTCTATTACACCAGAGGTTTGGAGGTTTGTGCCAGGGATTATTTTGGTGGGGGGCTATTTTGTTCTGAAGTGATATTTGCTTTACTGAAATTTCACTAGCAGTACCAGAAGCTGTGTTTTAAAGGGCCTTATTACTATCTATATATCTATATCTATATATAGATACAGATATATAGATACATATATATATATATACACACACACACACACACACACACACACACATACACACACATATATATACACAGCTTGCTTGGTAGTATCCAGATGTACCTTTTTTATTTTTTGAGATGAAGTCTCATTCTGTCGCCCAGGCTGGACTGCAGCAGCATGCGCCACCATGCCTGGCTAATTTTTGTATTTTTTTAGTAGAAACGGGCTTCACCATATTGGACAGGCTGATCTCAAACTCCTGACCTCGTAATCCGCCCACCTCGGCCTCCCAAAGTGCTAGGATTACAAGTGTGAGCCACCACGCCTGACCCAAATGTACCTTTTTTGTAAATGAAGTATGTAAAATAGATAAAGCAATAAAGGCATTGAGAGATGATATTTAAAGGAAACCTATTATAAATCCATTGGTAGGGCATATTTGATTTTTTGTAAAAGGAGTCACCCTAGGAGAAGGAGGACCACAGATGATTTTTAGGGCACTGAAACCTTGACACAGATACTATAATGGTGGAGACATGTCATTATACATTTGTCCAAATCTATAGAATGTACAACACGAGAGTGAACCTAATGTGAACTATAGACTTTGAGTGATAGCAATGTGTCAGTGTACCAGAATGATGGTAGATGTTGGTAATGGGGGAGGTTATGAGTGTGTGGGGCAGGGGGCGTATGGGAAATCTTTGTACCTTCTGTTTGGTTTTGCTCTGAACCTCAAACTGCTCTCAGAAATGGTTTATTTTTTAAAAGTAATGGCTAATGTATCTATTACATAAAAATGAATTTTTACATATGAGATTTGCTTCACGGGTCATGTGCCACACTAATTCCTTTTAAACTACATAATTTTTCATCATTAAAACAAGTAATGATGCACTTTCCCAAATGTACGCCAATCCTGAGTAGCCTACAGCGGTTGTTAGAATTTGATGTGAAAAAAAAAATCCATTGTTTCATTTTAAGAGCATCCGCCCACAATACAAACAAATCAGTTAATGAGAGGAAGGGAGAAATACCCCAGGAGAGCTGCAAAATTCAGAATTAGCTAGCACACAAAAATTTAATCTGTCTACCTCTTGGCTTATTTACACATACAGCGGCAAATACCCCCAAAATGCACTTCTTCATTCTTTCTAAACCCAAACTAGCCTCCAGCCTAGTAGGACCTGTCCTTCCATGGCCCAAGAGTATCCAACAAATACCAACGGGGAATAAAAATAATGCTGGGAAAATATAATAATAATAGTACCTTCCATGTTCAGTGCACAGTATTTACGTGACAAAACACCTGCACACTGTGACTGCATGTGATGCTCACAAGATGGAAAATTATCCTGAAGGTGCAGAAAGTTGGAGCAGCACGGAGTAGGGCAGGACCCCTGTTTGCTCTCCCCTTCTCAGGCACGTTCAGCATAGTCCCTGCTGCCTCCCAAACACTAACACAGAGAACTCAGAGCTCAGATTCCTCATTGTTCCCAAAAAATGCTTTTTGAATTGTAACTTGGGCCTGAGAGAAGGGCAACCTCCTTATGTCAATGGAGGAAATTCTCAGGATCCTTTCAGAGCAGGCAGAGCTGTTCCAGATATATCTCTATCAGATGGAGAAGTCCTCTGATTTGCTTTGAGAAACTCAAACCGTCCCTGAGTGCTTCTCTTGCCCCTTCTTCATGCCACAACAGATAGATGAATCTCACCAACAAATGAAAGGCCACCAAAATCATGACCAAGCCAACCGTTCAAGGCTGAGGCAGTGCAGAACCTGCGATTCTGTTCTCTTCATCCATGGTGTGGAAGCCACAGAGACTGGGATGCCGAGAGCAGCCGCCACTGGGCCACCAATTCTTCCCTCTCGCTTCTCTCCACTTCTATCCCCAAGTCTAGACTACCTCCACACTCTTGGACGGGAGTGCTGGCGCCCCAGCAGGGCTTTTTGCCTGGTCTATTCCACATGCCAAGGCCAAAAAATGTCTGCTTTTAACCGTCCCACACTTAAAATCCTCCCACGTAACTCAGTCTAAGTCCAAACTCCCCACATGAGAAATTAGATTTAAATTTCCTACTACCCAGTTAAATTCTCTAGATATCCTTCCTAACTCGTGTTTTATTCCTTGTTGATATTCTTCCTTCTGTCCCTTATCCTTCAATTTGCAGTTTTCAACCCTTTTACATGTTCACTATATAAGGAAATTTGGAGGGGGTTTTGGTCAGGCTGTTCTAATGAAGTCTCCTGCCCTCTGCAGGAAATTTCACCAGCAGTACCAGAAGCTGTGTTTTTCACATATGAATTTTTACATATGATATTTGCTTAAGCTTCTTCTCTCTGGTTCCTTCCACTATCTTTTTTTTTTTTTTGAGACGGAGCCTTGTTCTGTCGCCAGGCTGGAGTGCAGTGGTGCAATCTCTGCTCACTGCAACCTCCGCCTCCTGGGTTCAAGCGATTCTTCCGCCTCAGCCTCCCGAGTAGGTGAGACCAGAGGCGCAAGCCACCACGTCCGGCTAATTTTTTTTTGTATTTTTAGTAGAGACGGGATTTCACCATGTTCGCCAGGATGGTCTTGATCTCTTGACCTCGTGATCCGCCTGCCTCGGCCTCCCAAAGTGCTGGGATTACATCCTTCCACTATCTTAAACAGAAGGCAGCCCCATTCCCCCTCCCACAGTATACATGCTCTGCTCGCAACACTTGAGTCGCTACCTCACCTGGAAACACCCAGGCCCTTCTCTCATATCCTTCAGTGAAGGCACAAGCTCAGGTGTTTACTATTCTTACTTTCTTGCGTCTTACCCTAAAAGAAGAAAATCTGGTACTTTGCCATTC